CATATTATGTATTTTTTATATATTTTCTTGAGAAAAAATGTGAAAAGGAACTTCATGGCTTATTTTCAAAGCTTAAGAAATATAATGTATGTAAAATTCAATAACTAGTTTCTATTTGCACCAAAACAAATATAAGTGCAATAGAGTATACTAAAGCCAGTAGAAAAAGTGATTATGTATTGTCAATATATTAATATATTTGTGTATCAGGAAGGAATGTACTTACTGTAGCTTTGAGAGCAGTAACTTAATCAAATATGGATTTATCTGTATGATGTAATAAGAAATCCAAATATGGATAGTTGCTGAGTAGCTCGATGTTAGGGCCAACTTTGCTGCGATTACCTTGGCCTACCTCATAGTTGCATAATTGCTGCTACAGTTTCAGCCATCACATCTCTATTCAAGCAAGAAGGGGAAAGGGATGTGCCAGCTACATGTGACTCATTTCATCAGCTTTTCTAAAACATCCCCAGCTACCTTTGACATTTGATCATTTGTTCTCATTAGCCAGGGCTAGGTCAAATGTCCTTCCCCAAAGTTGCAAGGGAATTTTGGAAATCAGGGAATAACACTGTCGTGATTGGCTTAGGCTATAGGTTAGCCAAACTCTGGCTTGGGGCCAAATTCAGCTCACACATGTTGTAAATAAGGTTATATTGGAACACAACTATACCCATTTATTTACATATGTTTACAGCTGCTTTCACGCTCCAAAGGCAAAGTTGAGTAGTTGCAACAGAGACCATAAGGCCTGCAAAGCCTAAAAATATTTACTATCTGCCCTTTTACAGAAAAAGCTTGCTGACCCTTTGATTAGACCAATCATGATCCATTGCCTGGGGTTTACCATATAGATGCTCTGGGGATAACTGAGCCTCCTTAGGAGAGAAGGGATATTGGAGAGAAACAACAGTATATATCACAGGCGGTCGCTTGGTTCACTCAATTATAAACAAGACCAAAACGTGATAATATATTTTCTGTTTTAAGTCACAGGATCACCTTGAACACATAACTTTTCTACTGCTTCATTTCCTCAAGAGCCATCTAAGACAATTTAAAAAGACAGAAAATTTGCAAATATACAGTATCAAATGATTGACAATGTTGTGATGTGTCATGAATTCAGAAAGATAATTCCTCAATTACTGATTTTTATGTAACACTGTCTAAGATACCGTCAGACTAAGGCTTAAATACATATTTTATTGATTGACACTTCCCTTTAAACTGTTTATTTTAGGTTCTTGCATACACTGAGGGACTTCATGGAAAATGGATGTTCAGCGAGATACGAGCCGTCTTTTCAAGACGTTATCTTCTACAAAACACTGCTTTGGAAGTATTTATGGCAAACCGAAGTAAGAGCCCTTAAATATTTTGAAAGAAAATGTGCTGGCATTTGGGTGTTATTCATTTACATGGTATGATACTGTCTTGATTTTGCCTGCGGTGTTTCTCTCTTTTGTTATGCCCTTGCTAAAACAAGCAAAAATTCTTTCTAGGAAATAAAAAAAGAATTAATTTGTTTAAAAATGTTTACTCTAGGTTCTCATAAATGAAGTTATATAGAAAGCTGATTTTCCATAAAGATTTATTACCTTTACAAATAAATCATGAGAGCCACTTGAAAATGGTTTCTTAAATAGATGGTTAGCTTTCCTGTGGTTTTCTAAATCCTATGGTTTTTTTTCTTCTTCTTACCACAGCTTCGGTTATGTTTAATTTCCCTGATCAAGCAACAGTAAAAAAAGTTGTCTACAGCTTGCCTCGGGTTGGAGTAGGGACCAGCTATGGTTTGCCACAAGCCAGGTAATTATATCATATCACACATTATCTATGCTTTGTTAACATATTTCAATCTCAATATCACAGACATGTAAATGTGGTTATACCATTGTAATTATTTCAAGGACCAGGGATTTTCTTTCTCTGAAGGTTATTTGCAGGGAAAGAGGTTATGCAAACAGTTATTTTGAAAATGACAGAATGGTTAAGGCAAAGTTTTATTTAACACATATATAAATAATTTTAAAAGTTGATCGCATATCATAGTTAGCATATAATTATAAGACATTTTTGCTTGTTAAAATCACATAGGAAACATACCAAAAGCCCTAAGATGTTTGTGATTAATTGCTATGTAATAGCATATAAATTATTTTTTTATAAATGCTTCATTAAAATAATAAAACCCTTAGAGTTTATTGAGATTAATAGTCATTAATTTTGATGTAGTTTTAACTGTTTCTTAGATCTTTCATCTTGATATTTTAGAAGAATCACTTTAAAATCTTATTGTATTAAAGGATACTAGTCTTAGTAGAAAACATAGTATTTATGTGTATTGCTAAAATCAGTTAGTCTGTTTTTGGCTCCAGGTAACTCAATACCTGACTAAAAGTAGCTTAAACAATAGGAGTTTGTGTGTGTGTGTGTGTGTGTGTGTTGTAATATAAAAGATCTGGAGTTAAGATATATTCAGAAGTTCAGCGATGTTAGAACTCTCAGTTGGCCTTGGGTTTACATAATCACTATTTCTCTGGATACCACATCTTCACATAACTGCCTTTAAGTAGGAAAAAGACACAAAGGATTTCTTTTTAAGCTTGTCTGTTTTAGGAACGAATATATTTCTCAGAAGCCTCCAGTAATCTTTATCTCAAGTCCCTTTGGCCAGAATGAGGTCACCTTCCCACCCCTACAACGATCACTACCAAAAGGGAGTGAGAGTAGGCTTAGCCCAGGTATCACCCAGAATTTTTGGAAAAGATATCTCTGCCTCCTTGCCACCTTCTACCTGAACAAAAAATGGTTTCTGTTGTTGAGGAAGAAAGAGAGATTGTCTTTGGGGAGAAAAGCAACAAACAGTGTCTACCACATAGACTGTTAAATCCTTGAAAATGATTGCAGAGCACTACGTGGATGGAAAGGAACACTAATCTCTGTCTATCTTCCCTTAATAGGTTACAGACATTTTAAATGCAGGGACTGTGTTTTATTTATTTTTTAATCCACAGCACCTAGCACAGCGCCTAATTGCAGAGGTGCTTTTTAAGTGCTATTCAACTAGAGTTACCGTGTATTGCAACTTACCTATTCTCTGTAAGCTGGCAGTGTAAGACCAATTCACTGACATGTATGCTCATGCTCAGGATATTTGCTATTAGAATGACAAGATTAAACTAAGACATTAGCAGATAATGAAGCACTTATATAAAATACAGGTCAAAGAAAAAAATGCATTTAATCTATCAAAGAAATGAGGTTAGTTTTGCAAGACTTGTTCTTATTGAATCCAAGCTGACTCATACTAATCACCACTTCCTTTCCCATGTACTTATAAACTATTTGTTTAATCATCAATTCAAGAATTTTTCCAGAAATTGACATTAATAATTCACAAATAGTTCTAACTTTTTCCTTTTTCAAAATAATCTCCTGCTTCCTGGCATCGTTCTCGATGACCATGATTTCTGAAAGATTACTAATAGCGGTTTCTCGATGGTGTGTGTAATTTCCCTCAGTGCTCTTGGACTTGTCCGAACCTGAATTCATTTAAAACAACCAGAAGCTCTATTATCTTCCTTATCTATTGTGAGTATTATTTCTCTTTTAACCACATTTGGTCTCTCTGACTTTTGGAAGATCATTCTTCTTAACAGCAAAACTGGAAGCAAAATGGATGTTCAGTAGTTTTGGTCCCTGTTATTTCATAAAGCCATTCTATCTTAAAACACCTTTTGTTGCTCTGGGCTTGTTTCCCCCCACCCCAAAGGCTCAGCTCATTCTTAGCTCCCTAATAATATTCTTACAGGTTCAGTTTTGTGTATTTCCTGATATATGTATCCTTAGACGTAGCAGAAGGGGTTGGGGGGGGCCACTGAAGCTAGGCTTAAACCTGTCACTTGTTAGGTGGGTTACAATAAGAGAGGCTGCCACTAAGTAGGAATTCGATAAATGTTGGTTGAGAGAATAAGGCAAGTGGGATGACACTCTCATTTACTGTAAAATGGGGAAAATAGCTTTGCAGAGAGATGTTTTGAGAATTTTTTGAGAGCATAAAGGCACTTTTAAAACTATAAACACGTTGCGTTTTAAACTATAAATGCAATGTATACATATATATATGTATGCATACACACACACATAGATATAGGTAGGCAGGTAGGTGGGTAGATATACATATGTGCACATCTGTAAGTGTATGTGTTTGTGTGATATGTAAGATCTTGTTACATTTATAGAATTGTCAAAAGAGAAGGATGATGCCTGGCTTCTACAAGCAGAAACCCTCCAGTGAAGGATATCTTGGTAGAATCACCAAGGTCTAAGGATCCGTTCTTTGCTTTGCTTTCTTGACATTGAGTTTTGTCAGTTTAAAGCAGTTTATCAAACTCTAGGGAACTTACCCTAAGTTAAACCTATAAGATACTGATTTTAAACAACAGCAAAACACATCAAATTCAAAGGCAATTGTACTGCAAGAACGTTGCAAATCACATTGTTGCTTAAAGAACAACGGGAATATTTCCATTAAGCTAGCATAGCCTAATAAATACCACTTTAATTAATTAATGTTCGTAGCTATTGTTTACTGATGACTTCCGTGTGCCAGGGACTATATTTTGTATTTTATTAACAGTTTATAAGTATTATTTCCCCTGATTCTTAAAACAATGAGGTTCTTATCCCATTTTAGAGTTAGGAAAATTTTGGCTTAAATAAATTACTCATCTTGCCTATTCTCTTAATTCCTATCCTGTGTCCTCTACCAAGGTGACTCACACTGGTCATTCTCATAATCATGAAAAAATACTGGCAAACACCTGTCTATTTTCTGGAATTCATATTGATTATCATTCTTTGGTTAATATATTTTCTATTCAGTCAATACAATCAGTTAATTTTCCATTTGATTAGATTCTTCACTTACAAAGGATATACCCTGGTTGTATTTATAGAGTTGATGATTTATAATGGTTATCATTTGTTATGATACTTAATACTTTGTATTTCAGAGGACAATTTTGCCTTCATTCTACCCTCCAATTCTAAAAATATTCTATAGCCCAAACATGTGGCAACTGTCCTCATTATAATTTCTAAACTTGTTATAGGATATTTTGAAGAGCCCTATTGATTTACTGTTTCCCATTTTTCTTCTTTGTACAATTGAATTATTTAATTTTTTTGACATCACATCTCTCCAGCCATTTTCCCTTTTGGGGTCGATGACCAATAATTCAGGTCATTCAGATATACTTGTTGAGACTTCACTATCTGGTGACCATTGCTAAATGCTAAGTATGTAACAGTAAGTAAAACCAGTAAGTTAAACGTGGTTTCTGCTCTCAGTGAGTTTATAGTAGGAAAATGAGAGAAGTCAACAGCAAAAACTAAATCTTCCCTGAACTTGCTAATAATCTGCTCTTTTAAATTTGTTTCCTATGCCTGCGTTTTTCTTCTATGACATACTATTCAAGTGACATGATAACTTTCTCCCATGATTCCTGTTATTTACAGTTTACGCCAAACAGGATTTGGTGTTTTTGTTGTTGTTGTTTTTTCTTTTGTTAGGGATGGGGGGAGTTGCTGGTCAGAATTATTTCCAGATGAACAATATTCTTCTTAAATTGTCTGGGTTCAAAATGTCAACAAAGGAATTCAAAACTTTATTATATAGATATATTTCTTTTAGTAGATTGAGCATGCTATATATAAGAATTTTAGTCAGATTATCAAGAATATGATTATAATAGTAACAATGCAAATTGGGCTAAGCATAGTTTATTAATTTCTTGATAATTTAGAAAACATTTTAGTATGTTGCCATATAAAGTCAGAAACAGGGCTAGAGTTTATAGCATAAAATAGTGTGTGAAAGGAAGTATACTTGAGAAAATTTTGAATATTGGTGCCATTATGGATCAAACTCTGAAAGCCCATTATGTAGCCATGTGAAAATTAATTTTTAAATGTCCTAATTATAGAATTAAAGTATAATTGGTGTATACCGTTTGCCATTACAATTAAATGAACCATCAGGCTCATATGGTTCTTTTGCAGTCAGTTGTCTTTTATGTCACATAGATGTAACTAAGAAAGTTCTTCAAAAATTTTAATATGTGACCAGGTTGCCACAATTTATTAAGTTGATATTTTAAATGTTGAATTATGTATAATTATTTTTTAAATTCTTAATTAAGATTTGAATTTGAGATAACATGGGTCCATCCCATCCTTCCTCCTTCTCTCCCTTCCTTCAGTTAACATATATTTTAGCTACTGCTATGTATAAGACAATGCCTGTTAAAACTCCATTTTAATAGAAATATATGATAATAATCTATGAACGACAGAAATAATCTTAAATCTGTAGTTCCCAAACTGAGCACCAAGGAGCCCCAAGATATCACAGTGAATTCGCAGAGGTGCCGCAGGGCATTTTATATTTTATAGGGAAAAACAACAACATCTGTCAGATACGACACAAACTATTAGCTCAAATTAGTTCTAAGTTTCAACGTTAAATAGCATTTCATTCTTTTCAATGATATCTTTGTGAAACTGGTGTTTGGTAGTTGCTGTGTTTAAAAACAAGAGCCACAAGAAAAACCAGTGGGCAACAGGAAATGAAGGTGGTGGTGGGAGATCTGATTCCAGAATGTGAGAAGCTGTGCAGTGCCCGAATATATATCCCATGCGTAATTATGGTTATTTAAGAATGAAATGCAAATATTATTACTCTTTCAGTTTATGAGTATTATATTTTCAAATAGCTGTTAAGTTGTTAAGATGTTAAGTATTCATTGAGTTGTTTAGACCTAACTAGCTAATAAACAGAACTGTTAGGTATTTCTCTTCACCAAGGAGCACCATGAAAAAATTACCGAGGCACTAAGGGTGCCATTGAAAAAGGCTGAGAAACTCTGTCAATCATTTTGGAAACTCAGTAGCTTTATCATACTTTTCTAAATACAGCTAGCTTTCATTATTTTTAGATAAACACATTGAACCTGGAACGTTTCATAATTTATACAAATTATCCTGATTTATTTTCTTCAGCTATTCATATGCCCCTTCTTTTTCTGGACCCACAGATTTTTTTTCAAAGTTCCCACTTTTTTTTGCATTATTAGAGGGATATGTATTCTGTGGGTAGAGGCAGTGTATGTGTGCACACTCTATGTGTGTACGTGTGCACACTCTACATGTGAAGGAGCTGTAAAAAGTTCAGTGATGGCCATTAAATCAAATGCTTGTAAGCAGGTACCTGACTAACCACCTACCTACCTTGTTAGCATGGAATAGATTTGCTGAATTGTTTAAAAGCTACCTTGATTTATTTTGTGTATAGTTTTACTTTTATTGTTCTTGTTGATTTGTAAGATACCCACTTGCAGCTATATTTTTACAAATAGGGTTGCTTTCAAATTGGTTTATCCTGAATAATTAAATATATCTTGCCTACAGTAGAATTCTCAAATAATGCTAATTTATATAATCAAAATATATTTTATAATTTACCTAAGAAGAATAAACCATAAATTATTTTAAATTGAATGATATCAAACCAATATATTAGCTAATACTAGATTTTTTTAAGTTACAAATTAAGAAACTGTGTTTGTGATGGTGTGCTTAATTGCTAGGAGGATATCACTGGCCACTCCTCGGCAGCTTTATAAATCTTCCAATATGACTCAGCGCTGGCAAAGAAGGGAAATTTCAAACTTCGAATATTTGATGTTTCTTAATACTATAGCAGGTAAGATGTCTCATTCTTTAATCTCATAATGTTTATATTCATCAAAATCTTTGGTAATATGACTTGATATAATATACATTTTTCTTTTTGGAATTTACGTGCAGCATTAAAGTAAATTTTGGAGCATTCACATTAAATTGTATCAGAAACTGTACAAGCTAATACCAAGGTTTAGATGCATTTATTGTTGAAGAGGCTTTTCCTTGCCCTGCTTCTGCCATTTCCTTTGCTGACAGCTTTGTCTGAAGGTTTATTAGAGTCAACAAACCATTGCCAGAGAGTGTCTGGAAATAATAATGGTAAAATGTAATTTCACTACTTTGTCATTCTCAGCAATAGCAGCTAGACAGGAGAATAACAACAGGATTCTGCCTAGTACAGATGTCACCTGGATTATGGCATGATTAGGTTACAGCATCCTTTTTTTTTTTTTTCTTAAAGTAGTCAAATAAAAATAAAAAATCAGATTACATTTTCTAAATGATGAGTAACTGCCATCAACCTCGGCAGTACTATGTTTGTAAATCAAAAGGAGGTAGTGGCTTTGTTTTTCTGCTAAATCAGTGGTTGTTAGTGGTTAAACATGTCTATGGGATTTAAGCGCTTCATTCTTTTTTCTTAAGTTAGGCTCCAAAAGCCCTTATTCGTGTTGAATTACAGAGTTTACTTCTGCAAATCAGGCTCTACAAAAACTTTTTGCAGTCAGATGAATTTAAATAACTACATAAATAAACATGTTTACAATTATTGTTTCATTATGAATGAATTCTTACATGAATTTGAAGCAGTGTTCTTATGATTCATTGCTTTAAAAAGATAACTATGTAATATTACTCTTTTTAAATCTATCATACATAGTGTGAATACGGATACCACAGGTATATATTAAATGTGGATGATATAGGTATGTATCAACCAGGCAGGAGAACTTGATTTGTCAACAAAAAGGGATAAAGCTATTTGAAATGTTGAAATGTTTTTGCATTTTAATCACTTAATACATTCATATGTATGCATATATTCATATATATTCATTTATTCGTATATACAGCAAACACATATATCTTAAACCTATTTACTCCTGCAAAGATAGAAGAAATGTGTTATATTATTTAATTAGCACATTATTTATATATAATAGGATGAACTTAAATATCTGAAATGTAAAGAACTCAATTTCATTAGCATATTTAGGTAAACAGCATGAGGTACAAAAAGATTACAAGCTTCAACGCCAAAAGGAGGAGGCATAGAATCCCAGATCCACCAATTCTGTGTCTTGCATAAACTGAATTTCAAGTTTTAACTCTATCTTGGACTTTTAATCTTTCAGTAGCAATGTTTAATATATTTACATTTATTGTAATAACTAGTACATTTGGTCTTATATTCCCTGTTTTATACTGTTATTTTTTACATTTTCTTGCTTTTAATATTGTTTTGTTCTTCTCTGGCCATATAAATACTTTTTTGGTCACCTGTAGAGTGATTTAGAATGTAGGCATCTTTTTATTAATTCTCCTAGAGATATATTTAAATTTTTAGAAAGCCTTCTAAACTATATTTCTCTTATTTTTGAACTAAAAATGAGCCAACATTTTAAAATCACTCCTATGTACAATAAAAACTTTAACTCAATTTTACTCCTCATTCATTGCTTATCTTTGTAAATATAATTTACTAGTCAGAATCCAGATTATTATTAACTTCCTACTCTTTGTAGTCCATATCTTTTTGCATGTTAAGAAGGATTTCCAACTATTAAAATTTTATTCTTATTCTTACAGTATATTATTTTCACCTAATGGGTCTTTACCTGCTTTTTTAGACTATCATTCTCTTTACATTGTTCTGCAGTATTTTTTCCATATGATCTGTGTTAGGTTTTTTTGTTATTTGCTCTTGAGAGATCTATCACGACTCAATGTCTACCATTAGATGGACTTTGATTTTTTTCCTTGGCTGTGCTAGCTATTTGGAGCTGTTGGATGTAAAATTGGAGAGCAGGGTGATACACACCTTGCTTCTGGTTCAGTTTCCATGCTGGCAGGCATTCATATTATTAATAAACGGTTCTGCTATTCTAAGATGGCATTCTCTCTATTGTGTGGATGGAAGGTTTTCTAGTTCATTGTTTTAAAGGGCTCTTCTAATCTCCATGCCTTCCCACTGCATTTTACTCATGACTGGTAAATTCCCCACAATATGGTACAGTACCATCTATAACCACCACACACTTCATGCCTGTTACTTTCTGGGGGTGTCTTTCTCTAACGCTGGAGAGATTGCTCTGTCTAAATCTAGATAACATTGTAATCCCTTCTAAAAGTTGCACCCGAGCAGTGTGGAGACCGATACCCTTTTTTCTCACTGGGACTGTCTTTAGGTTTCTGAGCCAGGACATGCAGACCATGAGGGGAATTTAAAAATGTCTTCCTATTCTTTTTTGAATCATTGGGGCCTGTTTTATTTGATAATACAAAGAATGTATAGGCCACTGATTCTTTTTAAGAATTTATTGGGTACTTCCTTTATAATTATGACTAAACATTAAAGGCCTGACTATTGTAGGCAATGGGATAAAAAGAAGAATAAAATAAAGACTAGGAGCTTACAGCACTTATAATCTAGATGAATAAATAAAATATACATAAATGAGAGCATTTTAAGACAGCTGATATTAGGTGCCGAACAATTGCTATAAATAGTGAATGCTACAAAAGCTAAGCAGAGGGGAGGAATTTAAAAATGTGTTTGGGAAGAAAAAAAGAACAGAGCTCTTACAGATTTCTGCCAGTCAGATGCATGTAGTGTGTTCAGGGGACATGAGTATCATATCTGAACTGGAGGAGAGAATAATAGGTCAGAGCCAGATTATAAAGAGGCTTTTAGGAGTACCGTTTTGGAGGAGAAGGGAATGCAGTATGGAATTTTAGGAAAATTAAACTGATAATTATGTATGACATGAATCAAAATTGATACAGCTTAACATTAGAGAGAGCTATAAGGGAAATATCATAGACATCTAGATACGAAGTCAATTTGTTCATTCTTTCAGTAAATAGTTACTCAACATTTACTGTGTGCCACACATTCTATTTTATACTGAAAATACAGAAGCAAGTAAAATACAGTTTCTGCCTTTGAAAAGATCATAGTATAGTCAGGAAAACAGAATGTACACCAGCAATCCCAGTAAAAAGTTGTGGAAGCATTGTAGTGAGAGCATATATGACACCATTTGGGATCAAAAATTTAGAAGCTATTAATACTACTTGTAACCTAGAGATCAAGAAAAGGTTCTCATAGGTGACATTTAAAATGGGAATGGAAATACAAATAAGAATTCACTAGACAGTAGAAGGGCATTCCAAGAAGAAAGAAAATGCGGGGTGAAGATTTGGATGAGAGTAGTGGAAGCAGATACGGCAAAAAGAGACAGAAGCAAATGATACTTTGTTATATTACTATTATACAAAAAGTATGTCACTGTCCTTTACTCCAGTGGTTTTCAGAGTGTGGTCTCCTGACTAGCAGCTTCAGTATTATGTAATGCAAATTATCAGATTCCTTTGCAAACCTACTGAAACAGAAACTCTAGGGATGGGGACCAGAAACCTTTTTCAACAAGCCCTCTCGGTGGTTCATATGCAAAACCTTAGAGCACCATTGCTGTAGCCATTTAAGATCTAATTATCAGAACAAGATTTGCATATAAAAACATTTAGAACATATAAGAAAGTATGCAATTAAGTGTAATAAAAGTTTAGAGATGTGAGAGATTAGTATGATATCGTCCACTCAAGGAAAGCTTCATAGAAAAGATGGGCTTTAAATGAACTCTTCAAGGATTTTGTCAGATGTAGATGATTATCCATTCTACTTTATAAGTAGAATGACATTTGAAAAAAGTGTTGAATGTAAATATCCTGAGGTACTCTCCCTAGACATATTCCTATTAATTCTTCCCCTGCCATCATCCTAAAATTTTAAATAGGAATGCCAGTTTATACTGAACACCAGCATTGAAGATTTGGGTGAGAGTTTTATAGAGAAGCTGCACTAATGCCAACATTGAATAATTGTTAGGACAACAGTTAGAATTGCCTGTTTTCCTGATTTGTGGAGAATACTGTGTATCCATTTGTCTCTTCTTATTAAAACGGCTTTAAGAGTTCTCTTAGGATCCTAGAATAAAGGACACTCTAAAGATATTAAATTGTGCTAATATTACTTTTACCAACATAGGTTCCACTAATCATATTATCTCATAACACAGTTTTAGGGATATATTTATTGTTCAGTAAGTAGTTAATGTAATTGATTGAAAGTTAAGATTTATCATTTTGGCCAGGCACAGTGGCTCGGGCCTGTAATCCTAGCAGTCTGGGAGGCTGAGGCAGGAGGATCACTTGAGGTCAGGAGTTCGAGACCAGCCTGAGCAAGAAGGAGACCCGATCTCTACTAAAAACAGGAAAAATTAGCTGGGCGTGGCAGCACATACCTGTAGTCCCAGCTACTCAGAAAACTGAGGCAGGAGGATCACTTGAGCCCAGGAGTTTGAGGTTGCTGTGAGCTACAATGATGCCACAACACTCCAACGAGGGCAACAGAGCAATTATGTCATAATAATTAAAGAATAACTTCTTTAATTATTGTTGATATCAAGATTCAGAAAAAAATCAATAGTATTTTTATTACTTTTGTGTTTTGTTTCATTATTTGTTTTTGAAACATTTCTTTAATTATTAATATCAATATTCAGAAAAATAGTAAATAATAATTAATGTTTATTGAGTGATTTACAATGTGCCGAACATGGTTCTAAGTGCTCTATGTGAATTTACTCATTTAACCCTCACAATTGCCCCATGAGTTAGATTCTGTTCTTTTCCCCATTTCATAGATGAGAAATGAGGTAAACAGAAGTTAAGTAAGGTGCCCAAGTCACTGAGCTAATGAGGGACAAAGTCAGGATTCAGACCTAGGTCATTTGACTC